TAGTATCCATTCTTCGGCATATTCAGTTCTACCATTCTTTTAACGGTTCAGGGTGTAAGAAATTCGAGCCAAATTATCTCTTCCCTAACAGTGCGTTTCAGAATCCAGTGGCGTACCTAAAGACTCGCTTCGTCAGCAATTCAATCTTCGGCGGAGTCATCAACAATCTTCGATATCATGAGCTCCCAGTGCAAATTCTTATCAGTATCCCAACAATCTTTGGTACTGCAGGTTTCCAGCACCGATGTGTACTGCCATCCCCAGTGAAGAACAACGATTCCCAATGAGCCTTCGCTTATCCCCATGAAGTCTATTTCTTTTCATTGCATATGGTTATCATTGCATAACATTGCATCCTTAAGAGCACGTAGCCGTTCCATCAAAATGGATCTTTGCGGCAAAAGAAATTCAAACATGCACGCGAAGCATAAGCTAGACCAGGTACCTTACAAGAAACACCTGAATCATTCAAGGACAAAAATACATCCCTGCAAGAGGGTATCACTTCCAAAATCCCCAGTCGGTGACCTTCACCTTCTCGATTCCCAACAAAATCAATACATCTTGTCAGTCCAAACCCAGTTTTCGTCTAGTAGTCAGTCCCTTCCTGACAAATGTGTCAGTTTCCCAAACACTCGTCTGTGTCAACTCATAAACACCCATCCATGCCAGTTCTTCAAACACTCGTCCATGTTAAATCTTTCTTTAATACTCGCCCGTATCTTCTTTCAATACTCGTTCGTATTGATTCAAACACTCATCTGTGTCAGTTCTTCAAACACTCGTCCGTGTTTAAACCTTTCTTGATACTCATTTGTATCGATTCAAACACTCATCTGTTTTTAAACTTTCTTGATACTCGTCTGTATCGATTCAAACACTCGTCATTGTTTAACCTTTCTTGATACTCGTTTGTATCCTCTTTCGGTACTCATCCGTGTCGATTCAAACATTCGGTGTGTCCTGATCTACGTCTCCTATGAATCATCGTGTCCTGATCGATGTATTCCTGTTAGCCATTGTGTCCTGATCGATGTCTCCTTTTGGTAATCGTGTCCTGGTCGATACCTCTACCTTGCGAATCATCGTGTCCCAATCGATGTATTCTTGTTAGCCGTTATGTCCTGATCGATGCCTTCCTTTTGGTTACCGTGTCCTGATCGATACCTCTCCTGCGAATCATCGTGTCCTGATCGATGTATTCATGTTAGCCATTGTGTCTTGATCGATGTCTCCCTTTTGGTTATCGTGTCCCAATCGATACCTCTTTTGTAAATCATTGTGTCCTAATCGATGTATTCCTGTTAGCCATTGTGTCCTAATCGATGTCTCCTTTTGGTAATCGTGCCCTGATCGATACCTCTCCCTTGCGAATCATCGTGTCCCGATCGATGTATTCCTGTTAGCCATCGTGTCCCGATTGATGTCTTCCTTTTAGTTATCGTTTCCTGATTGATACCTCTCGTCTGAATCATCGTGTCCTGATCGATGTCTCATTTTGGTTATCGTGTCCTGATCAATACCCCTTCTGCAAATCATCGTGTCCTGATCAATGTATTTCTGTTAGCCATCGTGTCCTGATCGATGTCTCCTTTTGGTTATCGTGTCCTAATCGATACCTCTTATGCGAATCATTAAGTCCTGGTCAATGTATTCTTGTTAGCCATCATGTCCTGATAGATGTCTTCCTTTTGGTTATCGTGTCCTGATCGATACCTCTCTTGCAAATCATCGTGTCCTGATTGATGTATTCCTATTAGCCATTGTGTCCTGATCGATGTCTCCCTTTTAGTTATCGTGTCTTGATCGATACCTCTTCTGCGAATCATCGTGTCCTGATCAACGTATTCCTTTTAGCCATTGTGTCCTGATCGTTGTCTTCCTTTTGGTTATCGTGTCCTGGTTGATACCTCTTCTGCGAATCACTATGTCCTGATCGATGTATTCCTATTAGCCATCATGTCCCGATCGATGTCTCCCTTTTGGTTATTGTGTCCTGATCGATACCGCTCCTGTGAATCATTGTGTCCTGATCGATGTATTCCTGTTAGCCATTGTGTCCTGATCGATGCCTCCTTTTTGGTTATCGTGTCATGATCGATACCTCTCATGCAAATCGTCGTGTCCTGATCGATGTATTCCTTTTAGCCATCGTATCCTGATCGGTGTCTCCCTTTTGGTTATCGTGTCATGTTCAATACCTCTCCTGCGAATCGTCGTGTCTTGATTGATTTATTCATTTTAGCCATCGTGTCCTGGTCGATGTCTTCCTTTTGGTCATTGTGTCCCGATCGATACCTCTTATGTGAATCTTGGTGTCCTGATCGATGCATTCCTGTTAGCCGTCGTGTCCTGATTGATGTCTTCCTTTCAATCATCGTTTCCTGATCTGTGTTTTCCTCTCAGTCATCGTGTCCTGATCGATGTACTTTGATGTCGTCATGTCCTGATCAACGTATACCTCTAGTTTAGTCCCACCTTTTTTTAATTCCCCGGTGGATGTTGCAAAAATAATACTCATTACCACCATCTTTCAGAACAAATTTTTGACATTGATATTTAATCATCTTCTACCTCGAACTTCCGAAAGGCACGCGCCAATCATACTTTAAGGTTTAAGATGATTAAATAGGGGAAGTTGTAATACCCCAAATTTGTCCTACCCTTTTTCTTTTATCTGACTTATGCATCTCACACTTTTCTCATGTGTATAACTTCCATTAGGTCATTCTACATGTCATGCATCATTAATCAATAAATTTATGGCATGGGATCATGGATTTCAAGGAATTAGGATTGTTGTATGGCCTTAAGGCTCTCATCTTTGCACAAGCTTGTTTCGGTTGATTTCTCCATCAATCATTTGTTTGAAGCTAGGGTTTTATTTCTTGGATTGCTTTATCGTCAAACTACAGGGGTATTCTTTTTTCCTGACATCAAGTTGCAATCTTTCTTCAAGGCTTAAGAATTAGGGTTTTTTCTGTTAATATTCAACTGAGGATCATTGAATTTTCAAGTCAAGGCTATATTCCATATTCCCATATTCATTCTCCAGATTTCCTCAAGGTTTTATTGTTGTATTAAGACCATTGTTGAACCATGACACAAGGTGTTGAGTTTAAAGGTCCATTGTGCTCAGTGCGTCATTATTTCAAATGCTTATTGCTTGACACACGAGTTTTCTTTAGATTGAGGAATTGAATTGAATTAGGATTCATTGTTTTTTACTTGGTACATCAAATTAATTTGTTCAAGAGCATGTGTATTCATGATGTCAAGAAGATGATTCAAGCAAGGAACTATGTCAAAAAAAGTTTGAATTGCAAAAGATGCAAGTTTACAAGTTCATAAGTTTACTAGTTTGCTAGTTTGCAAGTTCGCAAGGAACATCACTACAAAGTTACACTACAAGCTTCTTTTTTTCAAAGCCAAAGCAAAAAGCTGCTGAACAACAGGAACAATTTCACGATACTCCGAGACGTTGATGTTCATTGAAGGATTTCCTACACGTTTGGGCTATGCGATTTTGTTGGAAGGAATACACAGTGATGAGCTAAAGAGAATCAAATGTGTTATGCGGTGTGCGAGTATCATGGCATATAACTTAATACTTGAAACCTCATTTCTTGCTAATCAGCAAGCAATAATCTCTACCTTTCCTCCAGTTACCGTGGCAGATATTTTGCCAATCAATCAAAAAACACAGCATGCATTTAATAAAAAAACTAGTTAGAAATCCAACACAATCTGCAGCATTTCAAAGTCAGAATCAAGTCCATAGTAGAGAAATCACAGAGAAACGGTTAAGTCAAAAAATTAAGGAAAGTTGTAATCCAAACAAAATCAATTATTCAAACCTGTATAACCAGAAATTCATCATATGAGTATCACAAGTAAACCAGTTATCCAGAAAAGAAAATTAGACAAGCCTTATGCTCAAACAAAATTGACTTACATCACAAGATAAACCGTGACCTTGCATCAATTTCCAGCTTAGCATATAGAAAATTATAAAATACTACAGTAGAAATATCAGAAAGTTGGGGAGGCGGAAAAGAAAAATAAGGAGAAATAGAATTGCTAGCTCATTCCAATACCAGATTCAACCAGTTTTATAACAAAGTGTTCTAATTGAAAAAACCATGGGCAAAATAGAAGTAAATCAGAAGGAAAATACTGAGATCAATTTTACAACCACAGCTCACTCAGTTCAACAGGAGATTTACAACACAAAACAAGAAAATATTAGAGCAGAGAATAAAATCGTGAGAAATTAACTCTGTAAAAAAGACAGCTCAACAAAACTTGCTAACAAATCCTCATTTTAGATTAATCCTAACCATCGATTCTATAACAGAAATTTCATATTCTATGACTCAGATTTGATTCAGCTTTAACTAACTATTTCCAATCTAATAGAATATAATAATATAGCTCACCTCTTTCATTCTGGATTTTTTCTTTATTCTGCAGAAGAATCGTGCAAACTTCTCTCTGTTCCTCTCACTTTCAGTCTGAATTCTTTTTCTCTCTAAAATCTCCAAAAACCTTTCTTCATCAATCATCACTTTATGTGATTTTTTTCTCAATCTACTGCTTCAATCCATACACACCAGATCAATTTCAAATTCATCATCAATCTTTATCAGATCTCTGCGCATCTTCATCATCCACAACTTTCAACGACCTCTGCATCAACAGCAATGCGTTATCTTTTCCATATCACTTCTCTACATCAAATCCATAACAGAGCGATACGCCATTTACGGTAACAATGACAAAACGAAGAAATAGAAATCAGAATAAGAAGAAAATAGAAAATGCAGAAGTAATAGAACGAAGCTACCTGAATTTCTGAGTCTCTATATTTCTCGTTACGTTCGCTACACTTGAAGAGGCGCCAGACTGACTCTGGGAGGTAATTGTTTTGAGTTTTGTTTCTGGTGTATCTTGAAGCATATGAATCTATAGCGTATGTGATACAGTTTCATTTCTGCAATTTAGGCTACCGGTTTGGGGAGCAATTTGAAAAAACAGAGCGGAGGGGTTTGATTTTCATATAGAGTAAGAAGAGACAGGGGTGTTTGAGAACGGATGGAAGTTGATCGAAATTTGACGGTAGTGGAGCAGACAAGTTCGAATCGATGGAGAGAGACTGAGAGTCTATGACGGTGGAAGTCAGTGGAGATCGGAAAAGAAAGTTCCATTGGAGGTTGAGAGGCAATGAGAATTAGAACGGAAGGATAATAGAAGGAGTCATAGATGCATTGGTTGACGAATATTGGAGTGTGTTTAGGTCTCCAGCGCGGTGGATCTCTTGATCGGAAATCGCTGACATTTTGAGGGAGGAGAGTGAAAGTTGAAACATCACAAACAGAATGTACTGTTTTTACAAAAAAAATGTATTCTTGTTTTAATCATGAAAATTAATTTGCTGGAAATAAGAGAAGAGGTGAACTTATTGGACCGGGCCACTCTTCCTTTGGGACCATTAAGAATTTTTTTGGCAAATGTAAGTAATTGAACAAAATGCTTGTTGGACTGCTTTGGACATGGTCCAAATTATCAAGGCTTGTATTCGTTTTTTTTATATATAAATAAAGATATAACAAAACAGTTTCCAGACTTTTTGAAGTGGGCCTTGCACCTTGAGCAGTTTACTGCATTATAGCTTCAGTTTCAGGCCTTCACCCCCTGACTCTTTCTAATTGTTTAGGATGTCTTTTATTCTATATTTTGGTTATGATAAAATTGTAAAAGTTAATAAAACTTGTTAGAACTCTTTAGTCAACTTTAGAAATTAATTCTTTAATTTTTTATGGAATTTTTCTTCACATAAAAAACTAATAAAAATTACTTTTTTTCCTTTAGTTTTTTTATCTGCATTTTCGTGCCGCTTTGCCATGTTATATTTTGATGCATTTTTTCATTGTGAGAGGTACGTTTTTTATGCTTTCGTTCATGTAACATAACAGGTAGTTATGTGATCGAAGCATACGGCTTATGCTTGCTTCTGATGCGACACGCCTTAATTCTCATCGTCCTGAGAAATTTATATTGTATTATATGTTGTCCTGATACATGTGATACTTTATGATGTCTTGTGCAGGAACTTCTGATCACGCGTTGCATTCGCAACACGCGTTTGCCTTTATCTTAGTTGGATATCATTTCTGACTTTGTTTGTTTCTTGGTGAAGCTTGCTCGACGCGTATTCCTTGCTTCTCCGGTGCTTTCAGATGCTCTTGACGACTTGCTCACTTTGGTAGTCGTCGCTACTACCTTCGTACTTCTTCTCACTTTATTACATTTCTTTATCGCTTTTCTAGATATCATGATAAGTAGGATTCTACTGCTTTCTGATGCCATGAGAAGTAGGAATAGAGATGTATGACGGGGGTCTCCGTTGCTGATCATGTCAGGAACCCCTCTGGTTTATTTAAAGACCCGTTTAGGGAAATTTTGCATTGTGTGCATTTTGTTTGCTACTTGTGTGTGGTTTGTTTAAAACCCTACCTTTGTGTAGGTATTTTGTAGGTGTGTTTATGTTTTGTACCCGCATTATTCCCCCATCCCTTATTGAAGTCCTTAAAAGGAGGCGAGCAGGGAGAGTTAGCAATCAACCCCCGTAAATTCGCTCGTGTCATTCTTAGCTCATGTCATACGTCGATACTTCGGAGTCGTGCAGATCTTGTATATAGAGTCTTCAATTGGGGAAGGGTTCCGTCATCGAACCCCCACGCTTTGTCAAGAGTTCGCATTGGACGATGCTGATACTCCGTGTTTTTTCATATTGCCTTTTATCGCTTACCTCAATCTTCTATATCTTGGTTAGGTGTTCAGTCGCTTTGGAAATCACTTTTTGTTTCTTCATCTCACGTCCGCTTGTTTGTCTTGGGTGATACGCTCCCCTTGGCTAAAGCATTTCTCTTCTTTTCCTTACTCTTTTACGTGTGTTCTCTTTCGAGCTTGTTTGTTTACTCGTTTCCATGCTATGTTCCCTTAGGACGTGCTTTCTCCTTTCGCGCGCAAGTTAGACCTTAGGTTGTAAGCCATGCATGATAACTTTAGATAGATGTTTCCCTTTCATCCTTGACATAGGGATACCTTTGTATGATAACATTAGGTTAGAAATAGGCTAGTCCCCCGTAGACTCTTTTCTTCCCTTTTTGCATCCTTGCATCTAAAACTAAAACCTTTTTCTTTAGAAAATCATAAAACATGCTAATCTCACTTAAACCCTTTTTCAAGGTAACAAAATACAAACCAATTCAAACCTTGTTTGTGCGTTCAAGCACCTTTTCTCTAAAACCCTTTTCAAATAAGGAAATGATTAATTTACTTCTGTGCCAACGCATAAGTCTCCAAAGGTCGAGCTGCGGCAGAAGGCGAAATTAACATTGTTCATAAAACACACAAAACAAACAAAAACATGTGAGTCGAACTACGGTAGCTCTGATTCCTCATAAATGATATGTAGGCATTGGGGTAGGTCCCAAGCGAGTACAATTTTATTTTCCCTACATTCTTTTCTCCTTTCGTATGCATGCATTCTTCCTCAGTAGTAAACAGTAAGCATAGATTAAACACACCCATAAGATAGATAACAAGAATGGATACCGTAGAGTACTACGTGTATGTGGGGTGCTAATACCTTTCCCTCGTGTAACAGACTCCCTTACCCGATCTCTCGGTCACAAGACTGTGACTTCTCCCTTCTCAAGTTTTCTCGATGTTTACCTTTCCCTTCATATGGGATAAAAGATGTTCGATGGCGACTTCATTGTTTGATGATTTTCAGTCATATGTATCACTATCAACGTAATTAGATTCATCCCCAACATGTGTTGCAATGCTTGAGACGGTGACATGTTGATTTTGATAAACTGTCTCTTGGGCTCATTTTGCCTTTGCTGATTTCCCCGTTGACATTGGCGAGGTCGTTGTTGGGCTCGTGACATGGCAGCAATTTGGAAAGGTCTACTCTCCACCAAACCAACTTCTTGTCTCATCGGAGGCTGATTAATAACTCGATCCCTAATTCTAGTTGTTTTCCCCATATGGTTGCGTCTGTCTTGATGAAGCTTGTTGATGAGGACTCTCATCTCTTCTTGTCCCTGAGCCAAGTTTTGGATAAGAGCCATCTGGCCTACCATCTGGCCTATCATCTGGATCTTCATTGTGGTTATCTCAGTTTGTATTCGTTCAAACTGGTCGTCCTTTTTATCCTCAGGATTCTTCATGGCCATGCCCCTAGTGATGAGTGCTTTCACTTCTTCTTGCCCCTTGGATAGGTTCAGGAAAATTTCTTGAAGCTGAGCATTTTGAGTCTGAATGTCCTTGATAGTCTGTTCTAAAGCCATCTCTACTGAAATAAATAGTAAGCAGATGAGAGACATGTGTCGGGAAAGCCTGTCATGATATGATGCATGGTATGTGGATGCATGTTTTCAAGGATCTCGCGGGGTAAACACAAGAAGATGTTGGAAGTTGAATTTTGATCAACAACTTTGATTGGAGAACATTGTATCGGTGGATGTCCTTCCACGAGAATCAAGCTCACCATGTCAAGTGGGTCATAGCTCTTGACTCACGTTATCATGCTTTGGTCTTTAACGTTGTTTGGTTAGAGGAGAATAAATCCTCTTGCCCCTTGATAGACGTCTGGTTCAACATGACCCTACATCACATGCCCTTTAGATCCTTAAAATGGTTATTGAAGATGTTATGTTATGATGTCATGATGTTATGTACAAGTATGAAAAGTAAGCAAGTCGTTATGTACAAATAATCATATACACAAAAAGCAGACAAGTCCTTAGTTTTAAGCTTGCATGGAGTTTGTAGGTAAGTACCTTCTTGAAGTTTAGTTAGCACAACCTGTCCTATAAAGTAACCGGGTTCTAGGGGATCTCAATATCACTGATCATTTTCCATCAGGCATTGTTTCAGCACAAGCCTCTTTATTAGCGACCGAAATATCCTGAAAGTCCAATCTCAATGAGCGTAGCATCGAGTATCAACCAACTTCGGACTGCACCAAAGCCGGCTATCTCACTACTTCCTTATGGCAAAGTTGTTCAACTAAGGTTCTAAGGTCAGTTAGTGCTTCATGACACCACACAGCGGCCCCATATTCTCCTTGACTACTCAAGGGCTATCGGTACCAACAAATGTGTCACACTAACATAGATATTGACTTGACCATGTCGATGTACCCCACACAGTTTCCACAATATATTGCTACTTACCTAAAAGGTGCCCCAGATCCGGGTGGACGATCAATACAAAGCCCAAACAAGGAAATATAATGTAAAGCAAGCAAGTCAAACAAAGAAAGCAAGTAAAGGTGATCTAGCCCTAAGGTAACCCCACTTTACAGATTCCCTAGCAGAGTCGCAGATTCCCTAGAAGAGTCTCCACCAACTTTTCTTTTATCCAATAAGGAAAGGTTGAAAAGAACAGGAAATACCTTTCGATATTATTTCTTGAGTTCGGGGGGTAGGTTATGAAAAGGGAAGGTGTTAGCATCCTTTTCATCCGTAGTTATCTACGGGCTCTTATTTGCTTTCTAGATCACTTGATTTTGTTTGAAAATGTTCTTTGTGGTGTGGTTTTGAAAGTATTTTGAAAACGTTTTTGTAATGATTCTCGTTTCTATAAGAATGCGTATAAAGTGTTAGTTTTGAAAATAGTTCAAAGAGGTGTTTGTGGAAGATGTTTTTGGAAAGTGATTTTGAAAAGTGTCTTTGTAATGATTCTCGTCTCTATAAGAATGTGTATAAAGTGTTTGGTCTTTTGAAAATGTTTCAAATGAAAGTGTTGGTGTGTAAAATGTTTTTGTTGTGAGAAATCGAGAAACTATGAGTGTCCTACCTACTCAAAAGGTATAATGTTTTTTTCCTCCTCCTTTAGATGTTGTTATCTTACCATTGATTTTGTAAGAAGTCCCATCGTTGGATGTGAAGGGACGGGCGTGGTTCATTTTTATAGTCATAGAAGGCAACCTATGGGACGTTTTAGCAATGTCGTTTAGGGACTAGATCATTTACCGAAGGCAATATCAAGGGTCATCGAGGGGCTATGATCTTTTAACGAGGGTCTTTGCTAAAACACCCATATTCGAGGGACATGACTATTTTCCGAGGCAAAAAGTGGGATTACCCTAGAGGTGCATGTGTGCAAAGTGTGTTTGATTTCATGCATTTTATATTTGATTTTTGGGTTGCCTACTTGTTGGTTTTATCTTGCCATACGTCCTAATAAATAACATTTTTATAAAGCAATAAAAATGTAGAAAATAAATATCCTACACTATTACAACCATATTGATTAGCAAGAAAATGTAAAGACAAAACAAAATAAAAGAAGGGAAAGTAAGCCTTTTGATTCAGGCAGCAACATCCTTCTATTCTGCTCTTCTGGCTCCTTTCAATTTGGCCTGGAAGTTAACATGTGCAGGTAGCCTTCGATTCATCTTTCTGGCTGCTTC